GTAAGAATGCTGATGCTTGGATTTGAATAACATAATTTTGGAGCTGATGCTAATACACGGAAATTCTATCTTAGGGTTTCTTTTTATTTGTCTTAATCAAAATAGATTTTTGCATAGCAAATGAAAACATAAAGAAGTCATCAACTGGAATTTTGTGTACCAGATAATAGAATGATAATCATTTTCACTGGTTTTTTTTTCTTCAAAGAAACGAACAATAAAGAAATTTTCACTATTGAATTACATTAATAAGTTGTTTTAATTGTAAACATGAAAACAATGTTGACCACAGTAAAGTCATCAGCATGTGTCCGATTCTCTTGGTAACTACTCAAACACCAAATCGAATTACATACATACATACATACATACATACATACATACATACATACATACATACATACATACATACATACATACATACATACATACATACATACATACATACATACGCACGCACGCACGCACGCACGCACACACACGTACGTGCATACATACATACGCACGCACACACGCACGCACACACACGTACGTGCATACATACATACATACATACATACATACATACATACATACATACATACATACATACATACATACATACATACATACATACATACATACATACATACATACGCACACACGCACGCACGCACGCATGCATATATAAATGGAGTTTCATATATCTATATAACATGATAATGTATGGCGTGTACAGATAATGCTATTTAATTCATACCTTAAATATATTTTTAGAACTTCAACAGTTAATCATCACCATATGACCAACATTTTCCTGACCTGCAACATTAAACGTATGGCGTGCAAAATACAACAGAATATATTTGTATGTACAAGCTTTTTCGGGAGAAGACGCTAAAAGTGTGGTCAGTGAGTGTGTGTGTGTGTTTGTTTGTATATATAAATATATAAATATATAAATATATATATATATATATATATATATATATATATATATATAGATATATATATTTATATATATATATATATATATATATATATATATATATATATAAGAAGTATTCAGAATGTTTTTCTTACTAGCATCATAAGAACATTATACATGATAGGTGAGGTGATTGATCGTAATTAAACATTGCATTAAACAATTAAATTTAGATGAGATGAAAGTAAAAGCGACCTTATGAACAAAAAATTATAATGAATAATAACAAATCAATTATATTACGTCATTTTAAGCAGCATTCATACTGTTTTTAAGGTCAATTGTTGCTCTATGGATATAAATTCAAAGATTTCTAACCATATCAGAATTTGTGGAATCGAGTAATTAACAAACTTCATCATTCTCGGGTATTTTTAAAAAAAAATGAAAGCTTGCATAGGCGGCAGATGATATTTGCATTGTAATGAAAAAGGTTCTCGACTTCTAGTACATTACAAAAATACAAGTACTTTCATATAATGCGGTAAAAATGTCATTAATAAACATTGAAAACAAAAGGTGCAACAAGTGCTATCCTTGACACATGCCAATTACACACACACACACACACACACACACACACACACACACACACACACACACACACATTCTTCCAAGAATGAACTATTAAATCTCACCTTTTGGACATTTTCATTCCCTGAAAGTAAAGTATAAAGTATTTTTCAGCTTACTACTAACTTAAACTTAAGCAATGTATACCATAACGTATCCCTTACAACATACATAAATGCGTTAGTAAAATCAACAAAACCATAACAGAAATTTCTACCTGAATCAATATATCGAGTTATTAATCCATATGATGAAATAAAAATATTATCAGTTGTAGTCGTATTTTGCCTAATACCATTCTCAGCGTCGACAAATGCCTTATGATCCTCTGCCCAGTGAACATGTATATTAAAATAAATCCAATATATATATATATATATATATATATATATATATATATATATATATATATATATATATATATATATATATATATATATATATATATATATATATATATATATATTAGTATTACATTCATTTTTTATTTTAATTTTGTTTCATTACATTTTATTGTAATGATCAGTTTCACATAATTCGATATTTTTTTTATAAAGTACATTCTGTTTGTACAGAACTTAGAAGAGGCTCCGAGTGGGCGAGTGGTCTAAAGCGCTGTCCGTTACGGATTACGGCCATCTCACCTCTGTCTGCGTGAGTTCGAGTCTAGGATTCGGCGAATGTGGATATGTGAAAAAGCTTGCCAGTAGGTTCGTGTGGGTCGGTGGTTCTTTCCGGTGATTTCCCGGTTTCTTCCTCCACGAATAGCCTATCGTGTGCTGAAAAATGGCATTAAGCCCAACAACAACAACAACAACAACAGAACTTAGAAGTGTTTCATTATGATTATTTTTAGCTGACCTCGTTCAGACGCTTGGTAAACCTAAAGTTTAAATGATTGGTCAGTATGAAGGTGATAATACCTCACTCGCGTGGTCACCTTGTGTCATCAACGTTTTCTTTAATTATTGGTTCTTAAAAAAAGCTATCCTGGTGAACGTGTCAAGTGCCTTGTAGTGAGTGATCATGTGATCTATCATAAGCGTCGGAATGACGTTTTAATGGGGTTTAATACTCAGTATCACTTTTCTAGTTGAGTCATAAGAGTACCATCAAGAGATCAGAAGTATATTTTGTTGTGGACAATTTTGAGTTATTTGTAATTTAAGAATAATTTGTATTCTCTGAAAAAAAAATACCTCGCCATCAAAGCTTCGGACAAAGACTTTCAGTAGAAGTTATACAGAGTGCTAAAGCCGGAATATTCTTTTGTGATTCATAAAATTCCTTCGTTATACACAAAATTCAACGTGGAACTTTATATTTCAAATATCTTTATGAATATATATATATATATATATATATATATATATATATATATATATATATATATATATATATATATATATGTATGTATGTATGTATGTATGTATGTATGTATGTATGTATGTATGTATGTATGTATGTATGTATGTATGTATGTATGTATGTATGTATGTATGTATGTATGTATGTATGTATGTATGTATGTATGTATGTATGTATGTATGTATAAAATATATATATATATATATATATATATATATATCTATATATATATATATATATATATATATATATATATATATATATATATATATACATATAAAACGAGTTCCTAAAAACTACAACAATGGGATATAACTTCATGTTGAAATAAAATATCAATTTTAGGATTGGTGTAATTACAAATAAACAAAAAACGATAAATATACCATCTGTTATTAATTCATGAATTTTGTTTTCAAACTCTAGAAAAATTATTAAATTACATCTTAACACATATGCCTGTACAACAGGCACAAATGTAAAATCAGTAAAATTAAATAATTGGTTAATCAAAACAACCGAACAGATTATATAACGGTTTCCTTTTTACCTCAATGCAGTTTTATAAAAAAGAGATATTAAATGTTTACAGAGGACCAGATTGCATTCAAATCTTTGCAATGCGAAGAGTCAAATTGCAAATTTGGTGTACGGAGATTTTGTTTTAAATATTTAAAACGATACCAAAGTCTATATGAAGTAAACGATAAAGACCTTGTAGTTACTAAGTGAAAATCAAACTAAGTTTAGTCTGATTTAGGGTCCGCCACATTTCATACTATATGCTGCTTATTCAGGGATCAAGACAGATAGGCTGTAAGGTAGATAGGTTGGTAAGTAGGCATTGTAAGTAGATAGGTATGACGAATAGCACCTTACTATACAACCATATATGGAATGGAATAAACGTGTACATTATAGATAATAATAATAATAATAATAATAATAATAATAATAATAATAATAATAATAATAATAATAATAATAATAATAACAACAATGATAAGCACTTAACTCTGCAAACAGAAGATAAAACACAGTTCGCTAATTTTTACAAAACAACACAGAGCACCACAGAAGGATGATATACGGTACACATTTTTAATTTTTTTTAAAAAAAATTGTATTCTGGAGAAATATATGACATTATAATTGTTCATACAATGTACGTTACACAGTTTTGTTTGATCTACTACGTTAAATAAAGATGACTTCTTGGAACAATGCTTTTAGAAGATATTTTCAAGTCATCCATAGTAATAATGAAATAATTGTATCGCATACACGTTGATTAGTTATTCAAATGTGAAACGATTTTTGACCGATATTTGAAGGATTAATCAGCAGGTGACATATTTGCGGTTCGGTAATATATAACTGGCTGATAAAGCAAATTCCAACAATAGTTTTTTATACCTAAAATACCCCTACCGACATCTCACACTGTATGTAGGCGGCACTCTGCGGTTTTTATGTATAACGATTTAATACGAGTATGTTGACTCAGATTCATATAAGTGTTTTTAATTATTGAAATATTCCTTAGCGAAAATGGAAAATAAGTCTGTTATAGTAAAAGTCTAACATGTACTAAACATCTATTTAAAAAATTAAAAAATTTAACTTTCAATCTGATCTTCGAGTTTTTAATATCAGCCAATAAGAAATAGTTTTACAAAACTTAATTCCCGATACATCCTTTAAAGACCACCATTTGGAACATCCCCATCTCTTTCCAGTGAGGAAAAATGTACTTTCTGACATGCACGGAAACGGAAGGCAAACTATTTTATGCTCTTCAAGCCGATGACATTTTGTTTTGAACACAACTTCTTTAGTGTTTACTCATTTACATCATATTATTCTGCATACAGCGAAAATAAGAAAACATGAGTGGGAGTAACATCTTTCAGATAGGTATTCCATTAAATTTCCAGCTAGGTATGACCAATTATCATGCTACATACATGTAGCATGATGTCCCACCCAGACACATTATCCTGACACCAAGCCGACCAATCCTAACACTAACCTCTTAATGCTGAGCATCTAGCGAGGCATCTGTTAGTACCATTTTTGTAAGTCTTTGGTATGACTCGACCGGGGATCAAACCCGCCACCTCTCGCATTTGAGGCAGACGCTCTAACCACTAGGTCACCGGAGCGGTTCTTGTTCAATGAGAAAGTTTCAGTTGAAATTTCGATGTGATGTTGTAAGTCGAGAAAACCAATATTACATGTTGGATCAAATCACATTTCCTTAAAGTTTTATTTTCTAGATCGAGATTTTATATGTTGAATTATATAGTGGAGGATTAGAGCAGGAGTTTTAAAACTGTGGTCCTCTGTTCACTTTCTTTCCACTCTTTTTCCTAGATGCTGTCTAATTCGGTTAGATTTATGTGTAAGGAAAGGAAGCACGGTATGTACATACATATGCCTGACCTAAATCTGTTAGACTTAGTGTATGGAAATGAAGCACGGTATGAACATGCCTACGGCTGGACAGACATTTAAACAAGACCAACAAAATACGTCCCTTCACAGATGATGGCGGAAACATATAAATATTTAACCATGCATATGTGAACGTCTTCCAAAAAAATGACAGCAGTCATCTCACACAAATAATAAATAATTCCAGTATATACGTATGCATAATGCTGACACTTGCCATATACATAATGCTGACTAACGATATGCATAGTGTTAACTCTTACCATATGCATAATGCAGACACTGACGAAGTTTTCTTGAGAAATCTTTAAATAAGCTTTGTGCACACATTAAGTTTATAACTTTTACCGAAAAACGATCCCCCCCATTTTATACTAATATGATTTAAGTTAAATAAGGGCATTTTTATAGGTAAAAAAATGTTTAATAGAAAACTCATTAAAATATCGGTTTTGCTAAAGAATCCCCCCCTCATTAATCCCTTTCGAGAGATTTATCAATAGGTGCATGTTTAATAATATATTCCATTAGAAAAAGAAACAAAGGAATAAAACGGTTTGGCACAGGACAGTAAAAGAAAATCTTTGAGACATTACAATTAGAGGAACCAACTGTGTAACTAAATTTTCTTGTTACAAGCCAGGGGTCATTGCTTGACCGATCAGTGTCAAAACCCTGGTGCGATTCCCGCTAGAAATCATACGTTTACCCCAAATTTTCAAAGATATGTCTATTCTATACATAAATTTTACTCTAAACAATGCAAGACCACATAATTCACAAAATTGTCAAATATATATCAGCCGCACATCTGCATAGTTTCTCCTCATCAACTTTCCGTACCGTCAGCAGTTAACGCCGTAGAAACTCTACAACTATCCCCTAACACAAGAAACTCTTTTAACTACACCACCTTAGACTAGTCAATCAATCGTGTCAAGACACATCACGCCAGTACACTGCACCACATTTGCCACCATGGCGACATAAACGGTATCTGCCGAGTCCCTTCTTGTTTATTCCATTGTGTAATTTACCGGTTTTATACCGTAAATACTGCCACTGCAGTCACAACACCAATGTACACCACTAGATTTTAATAGGGACTACATTATGACAGAGACAGTCATGCGGTTTGAATATGAATTCGCTACTCATTGACCATTGCATCATGGAAACACACTAACACTTTCTCTCCGTGACGTTTGCTCCTAGTAATTGACAATTTTTTTCCGGCTAAGGAATATTAATCAAACAAGTAATCACACAAATTTAAGAATTGCTTAAACGGGGCGCTATAACCAAATGAGCATCTCCAAATTTTATTACATTATTTTCAAATACTATTGGAATATCATATGTTTTCTCAGGATAAAATTGGATTCTATTGCAAAACTTTAAAATGAAACCTTGATTCTGAAACGACTGCAAGTTTCATAGTGACTTTAATGTCCTTTGTTCAAATTTTATTTCGGTTCTATGTATGCTATGTCTTAAGGATGTATTTTCTCGCCATAATTTTAACATAAAAATGACACATAAAACGTCATTAATGTGCATAATGTCACGCACGTGAACAGGAAAATATGGTAGTGTTTTAAAAATATGACATATGACACTTACGAATAGGAAAATAGGAAAACATGCTAGTATATATAATTGTTTTCATATATTTAATGCTTCAATTTGGTATGTACCAGTATATCGCATTTACAGATAGATATATTGAAATATAATTAAATTAAATGCCAGTATATCGCATTTGCAGATACGTTTTTGATAGTGTTAGACCGCTCCGGTGGCCTAGTGGTTAGAGCGTCCGCCTCGGATGCAGGAGGTCGCTGGTTCTAATCCTGGCCGAGTCATACGAAAGACATTAAAATGGTACTTAACAGATGCTTTGTTTGACACTCATGATTAAGAGCTTAGTGTTAGCACAGGTCGGCCTTTTGTCAGGATAATGTAATTGAGTGTGATATCTTGTTACATGTCTGCGGCATAATACCCTAGTGATATACATCATTATAAACTGCCTTACTGCAGACATCGTAGCGATGTGACTGGGAATATTGTTAAAGCACGTTAAAAATCAAAATCACACACACACGCAAACTGTCCATGCATCTTCTTTCTTTTCCATATTAAGTAACTAAAATTATTGTTCGTTATCTAGCCTCGAAACTACCCGAGTCTATTTTGGTTTTGTTTTTTCAGAGCATACTTATCCGTTCGAGTTTGCTGCCACCTTTCTCTTAATTATATTTTTGCTATAATCCGTTTTATTTTGCCCAAACCCTTCTTAAAAGTTACCCTCCTACCTACCGACAATCTTTAAGTACAGGCCGACACACGCTTAAGCGGAAATGTATTGCTATTTCTTATTGTGCAGTACAAACATATTGGTTTTGTGGATATAACGCCACTTTCCGTACATGATAGGCTAGACGTAGGGGCCAGTATATTTGGTGGAGGAACAATCTGGGAAAAACCCTATGAACCACCGACACACGAGAAGCTACTGGCAAGTGATTTTGTTTCACTTACCCAAGTCGGTCGAAGCACGAACTCATGCTAAGGTGAGATATCACTCATCAGTAAAGGCGAGTGCCTTACAGTGTTCATGGATGAACTTTGCTGACCGAGGTAAAAAAAAGAAAAGTAAGGCTTTGTTAGAAAATATAACATTTAATTCCCAGCTCAGTTTTAATTTTGTCTCATGTACATATTCTCCTTTCACCAACCCACCCTACTTCGTGTGTAAAATATGGCTGTTGGTTGGGCAATAAACAAAAGAAAAGGAATAAATGAAAGAAAAATTATAGCAAAACAAGATAAAATGAGACAGCTAAACCCATTCTGTATAAATGTTTAATAATGAAAAAGGTTGCAAGTCGATTCTTATGTTCAATCGTACCAATTGCATTGTTCGTAGTTTTCTAGCAGTTTGTACTGATTTCAACTTAGCAACGACTGTAGCATTATGATTAATGGTTGGATTGACTCATTGATTGATTGATTTCATCCGCATGGCGAAGAGTACCATCTATCATACATCTTGGCCTTTATTACTGACAAGTAAAAATTTCTACCTTGTTATCTCCTATCTGACAAGATCAAACAAAACGTTTATAACAATGTCTAAGGCATAGCTATTTTTTTATTTAATTATTTATCAGGATTTGATGCCAATTAATTTCATGCTTCCTAGAGCACATGATTTTCGAATTCGTAACATCTTTGCATCATTTTGCATCGCCACATATGTAACAAAAATAATAAATATAGTAGGATTGCAATTTAAAAATGTTTTGCATGTAACCAGACAACATCCTGAAGAAAATCGTTGTTGTTGAATGATTCCATGATGGCAATTTTGCGTTAGCAATCACTCAAGTGTGCACTCACCGATGACGTTAGTGATCACATGATCTTTGTGTCTTGAAATACATATTACCGTTTGGCAACGGGCTTTAAAGCAATATGCTTTCTTAGTTATTACTGAATGAATTCCTCTTTTCCCCCCGCTCATTTATTTTAACATGTCGGAGTCATTTTCATGTTTCCACGCTCAATTGCTTTCCAAACGTCTTATATCACCAATACGCCATGATCTTTGTAATTATGATGTTATTTCCGTTCTTATTTGATATATTTCTATGTTTGTGGCCATTGTATCTTGTGACTGAAAATTCTTTTTTGTCAAAAACTAGCTGAGCATTTGAGGTTTGATATCTTGTTTATTGTCCATATTTCCTTATCTGTGTACTTGGTATTTCCTTTATTCATGAAATTAACGCCAGTGTTTTTTTAAAAAAAATTCTAGGCACCGATAATTTATATAAAGTTTCCAAAATTTATATTTATCGCTGAACTAATTCTTAAACAAACTAAGATGCTGACAGTGTACGCAATTGCCGATACTTAGCAATTTGGATGACCTCACCTGCATTGCAGTTTTGCTTTGCTCTGGATTTAAAAAGTTCGGTTTTCTCTAGTCAACAAAAACGCAGAAAGGAACGATGTTTAGCTGGTTTCTATGACGTCCTCGAGTACCTGTCAATTTGCTAGGCAATCTCTCTATAAAGCTATGTAAACCTTGCTGATCTTAGTCCCGTGTCTGGTCAAGCTTTCTTTCCTTCAAATTAAGCACATATTTATATCTTCGGATATTCACCTTCTTCCCGTTTTTCATCCTCTAGTTCTCTAAACTGGTGATAATTTACAGAATAAGAACTCTTTCTCTGCTTATAATGTGTGAAAAAAAATCTGTATTAGTTTTAAAGCGTATAAGCATTAGAGAAGAAAGACCGACCTTAATATACACTGTTCATTTTGTCGAAAATACACGATTTATTAGCGGCGGGGAATGTAAAATGTAATTAAAACACAGCTAAGATATTACATTGAACAGTAGTCGTGTTATTTTTCTACTCCTAATTTACTTTACCATAGCAAGTCTATCTTTAGAAAATGTATATTTTTTTTTCTAGAACAGATGACACTCAGTACAGCAAATAAAGGAATATGCTTCCAAGTACAGAGAACACTAAGCACATCCAATAAGACTACTTTTTTCTATAACAGATGACACTCACTAAAGCCAATATAGGATTATTTTCTGGAACAGATGACGCTCACTACAGTCAATATAGGATGATTTTCGGGAACAGATCACAATCACTACAGCCAATATAGGATTATTTTCTGGAACAGATGATACTCTTTATAGCCAATATAGACTGACTTCTGGAACAGATGACACTACAGCCAATATAGAACAGATGACACTCACTACAACCAATATAGAATGATTTTCTGGAACAGATGACACTCACTACAGCCAATATAGGATGATTTTCTGGAATAGATGACACTACAGCCAATATAGAATGATTTTCTGGAACAGATGACACTCACTACAGCCAATATAAGATGATTTTCTGGAAAATATGACACTACAGCCAATATAGAATGCTTTTCTGGAACAGATAACACTCACTACAGATAATATAGAATGATTTTCTGGAATTGATAACACTCACTAAAGAAAATATAGAATGATTTACTAGAACAGATGACACTCACTACAGTCAATATAGAATGATTTTCTGGAACAGATGACACTCACTACAGCCAATATAGAATGATTTCTGGAATTGATAACACTCACTAAAGAAAATATAGAATGATTTTTCTGGAACAGATGACACTCACTAAAGAAAATATAGAATGATTTTCTGGAACAGATGACACTCACTACAGCCAATATAGAATGATTTTCTGGAACAGATAACACTCACTACAGATAATATAAATTGATTTACTAGAACAGATGACACTCACTACAGTCAATATAGAATGATTTTCTGGAACAGATGACACTCACTACAGCCAATATAGAATGATTTCTGGAACAGATAACACTCACTAAAGAAAATATGGAATGATTTTTCTGGAACAGATAACACTCACTACAGCCAATATAGAAAGATTTTCTAGAACAGATGGCACTCACTATAGCCAATATAGAATTATTCTGGAACAGATGACACTCACTACAGCCAATATAAAATGATTTTCTGGAAAAGATGACACTCACTACAGCCAATTTAGAATGATTTTCTGGAAAAGATGACACTCACTACAGCCAATATAGAATGATTTTCTGGAACAGATAACACTCACTAAAGAAAATATAGATGATTTTATTGGAACAGATGACACTCACTACAGCCAATATAGAATGATTTTCTAGAACAGATGACACTCACTACAGCCAATATAGAATGATTTTCTAGAACAGATGGCACTCACTATAGCCAATATAGAATTATTCTGGAATAGATGACACTCACTACAGCCAATATTGAAATGAAAATATAGATGATTTATTGGAACAGATGACACTCACTACAGCCAATATAGAATGATTTTCTAGAACAGATGACACTCACTACAGCCAATATAGAATGATTTTCTAGAACAGATGGCACTCACTATAGCCAATATAGAATTATTCTGGAATAGATGACACTCACTACAGCCAATATTGAAATGATTTTCTGGAACAGATGGCACTTATTACAGCCAATATAGGAGGATGATTTTCTGGAACAGATACCACTCACTACAGCCAATATAGAATGATTTTCTAGAACAGATGGCACTCACTATAGCCAATATAGAATTATTCTGGAACAGATGACACTCACGACAGCCAATATAGAATGATTTTTTGGAAAAGATGGCATTTACTACAGCAAATATAGGAGGATGATTTTCTGCAACAGATGACACTCACTTCAGCCAATATAGAATGATTTTCTGGAAAAGATGACACTCACTACAGCCAATATAAAATGATTTTCTGGAAAAGATGACACTCACTACAGCCAATTTAGAATGATTTTCTGGAACAGATGACACTCACTACAGATAATATAGAATGATTTTCTAGAACAGATAACACTCACTAAAGAAAATATAGAATGATTTTCTGGAACAGATGACACTCATTACAGCCAATTTAGAATGATTTACTGGAACAGATGACACTCACTACAGCCAATATAGAATGATTTCTGGAACAGATAACACTCACTAAAGAAAATATAGAATGATTTTCTGGAACAGATGACACTCACTACAGCCAATATAGAATGATTTTCTAGAAAAGATGGCACTCACTATAGCCAATATATAATGATTTTCTGAAACAGATGGCACTTATTACAGCCAATATAGGAGGATGATTTTCTGGAACAGATAACACTCACTACAGCCAATATAGAATGATTTCTGGAACAGATGACACTTACTACAGTGAATATAAGATGATTTTCGGGAACAGATGGCATTCACTACA